AAAATACTACTTGTAAAAAGTGAACTTCAAAACATAAAGAGAAAATTATTATAATCCTTATAGGGTTTTTAATCTTTCTGCTTTCCCAGCATAAGTTTTATCCTAATTTTTTCTTTCTTCAGTCATTATCCTTGGTGTTTGGGTACTGCAAATTGACACAAAATGGAAAAAAGCCAAGGAAGCACACAGGTTAAAGATAAAAACAGGCTTCAGATGTTAGTGGGCAGAAGGGTGGCTCCCCCAGGGGCAGCCAAATTGAGTGGACGACAGTGCAAAGCACCAGGGGATGACAGTATTAGCCACTGCTGAGCAGAAAATTGGAATTATCCTTCAAGCTATTTTTTTTCTCTTTTCTGGTTGTCCCATTTTGTCTCTCCTGTCTTTCACTGGTGCACTACAAAGACGCAGCCAAAATGGAATTTCTTCTTTTCGACATGGCAAAGTATGCGTTGATCTCGAGATTAAGAGTTAGACTTCAAAAAAGTTCAACAATATGTGAACAAGAAAATTTGAGCTGGGGAGTTTAAATTACATAAGCACCATGCTGATGATATACAAATAAGCATACTATATAACTTTACCAGATTAATTTAAAGATGATCAAATAAGGGGCACCTAGCTGGCTCAGTCGGTTAAGCGACTGCCTTTGACTTGGGTCATGATCCCTACGGTCCTGGGATCAAGCCCCGTTTTGGGCTCCCCACTCTGTGCGGAGTCTGCTGCTCCCTCTGCCTCTCGCCCTGCGTGCTCTCTCTCTCTCCCTCTCTCAGATAAATAAATCTTAAAAAAACAAGGGGATTAAACAACAAGTTGGGAATGATAGCTGAGTGACTGTCCGCATGTTGTTTCACGCCTTTCCTGAAACGATGTTCTAGAACCTGGCGCTACTTCCAGCTCCGGGTCCCTTCCGTGCTCTGGGAGCTTTTGCTCTTTGAATCCCAAGTTCCCAGCCTTGTCCATACCCGCGGCCATTCCCTTCCAGCTCTCTTCCCGCCCGGTCGGCCGCGGCCTGACAAGACTGGCTTTGCCTGAAGGTCGGTGCTGCTGCGTGTCCACGCGCAGCCCAGCCGTTCCACACGTAACCACATGAGACTGAAATGTCTCAGTTGGTCCCTGAGCTCTTCCCAATCAGTGCCTATTTTCAGGTATTTTTTAGACCTTCGAAGAGTCTGAGAGAACGTTCTCACGGAAGGACACACGCCGCGGACAGGAGCTGCGTTTTACACTGTGCCCGGCACGTGGTCAGGAGTTACTGACCTGGGTTGTGACAGCTGCGGTTTGCTGAGCTGGTCACCACCCCGTGCCTTTAAAATCCACTCCCATCGCGTGCCTTTTAATCCTCACACCCCTGAGAGCAGTTCTAGTAAAATACCCATTTTAGAAACAAGTAAACAGAGGCAAAGAGGGGATCGATGTACTATCAAATTCAGATAATTGGTCAGTTACCGAACTGGAATTTCAAGTTTTACAGTCTGTACCATTGTGCCAGGGCTGCCGTGCAATGTGCTGCTGACTGTGTAGCTTAAACAACAGAGACTTATTTCCTCACAGCTCTGAGACCTGCAAGTTGGAGATCAAGGTGTCAACACAGACTAATTTCTGTTGAGGTCTCTCTTCTGGGCTAATAGGTAAGAAGTCTTTACTCTGTATGTATCTGAATCATAATTTTTCTTTTTCTTTTTTTTTTTTTAAATGAGGACACCAGTCATATTGGATTAGGGCCCACCTCAACCTCATATGTCCCCAATTACCTCTTTAAAGGTCTTATCTCGGGGCACCTGGGTGGCTCAGTGGGTTAAGCCTCTGCCTTCAGCTCAGGTCATGATCCTAGGGTCCTGGGATCGAGCCCCGTGTCGGGCTCTCTGCTCAGCAGGGAGCCTGCTTCTCCCTCTCTCTCTGCCTGCCTCTCTGCCTACTTGCAATCTCTCTCTGTCAAATAAATAAATAAAGTTTTTTAAAAAAATAAAAAATAAAGGCCTTATCTCCAAATAGGACACAGTCTGAAGTACTGGGGGTTAAGACTTCAACATACGAATTTGTAGGGGGACACAACTGAGCCCATGGCAGAGTCTCATTCCACACTCCTTTTGTTAACCGCTAAACAAATCTAAAAAAGAGAAAAGAAGGGAGGGGACAGCATTGGAGGGTAGAGGGAACAAGGAAGGAAGGAAGGAAAAACAGAAGAGAAAGAGAAAAAAAGGAGGAAGGGAAGAAGAAGAAATATTATTTGGGATTATAGCATGGGACATTACTTGGATTGATTTGATGGTTCTTGGTTTCCCTAAGGAATGTAGCCACCTCTATACAGTGATATACTTGCCAAGCAAACCAGAGTAACCTTATAGGCAGAGTGCTTTGTAGACATTGTTGAAGACTGACTGGTTGTTGGGAAGGCATCTTGGTCTGGTGAGATGACCATGAGCTCTGGAGTTACAGGGATACGGGTGCAACCTTAGCTCCGTCTCATTCTATTTGGAAAAGTTATGCCCTTTTTCCGAGCCTCAGTTTTCTTAAGATGGGTATAAGATTTCCTATAGGCAAGATTTTTAAGAGGATTATAGTTGATTTGAAGTTCATAGATAAGCTTAGATCCTCAATAAGTGAAAATCTCAAGGTTCTTCCCTTTTCCTTTCCATTTCTGGCTCCTCACTTCCCAGTCATACAAACCACTTCCCTTTCTTTCACACACTTTCTCCTACATGCTGCCATTTATTTTGATCGGATTTAAGCAATCACTCTTATTCCTCTTTTGATTTGGAAAATACCTACCACTTAAGCAAAATTTTATAAACACAAAATTACTGTATTTACCTTCTCTTTAAAAAAAAATAAGCAAATTTATCAATTGAAATATTTCATACTTCCAGAAAAGGAGAATAAGCAATATGAAAAACACTGTTACAAAGAGAAATACGGATGGATGACCACTCGTCACATTTGCTTCTAATCTCTTTATTTTTTGGTGGGACTGAGAGAAATAAATAAAACTGCATGGATATATCCAAAGATCCATATTGTAACCTAATTTTAGTCACAAAGTATATCCCAGTTAATTAGTTTATTCACCAAGTGTTACTCAATCATTATTTCGGGTACTAAACATGGACCCGTGAATGTTACATAAAGTGTCTATGCTTGAATGGAAAATGCTTAGTGATGGAGAGAATGAACATGTACAAAAATAAATATATAAGTAGGGATAAGTGCTATTCAGAAAACAAAGCAGAACATTCCTAGTAGGAATGTGAAATGGTACAGCTGCTTTGAAAAATAATCTGAAAGTTCTTTAAAATATTAAGAAGAATTACTATATGATACAGTAATTTCCCTCTTAGTTATATACCCAAAAGAAAGGAAAACATATGTCTGCACAAAAACTTGTGCACAAATGTTCATAACATTATTCATAGTCCCCCAAAAGTAGAAAAAGCACAAATGCTCACTAACTAATACATGGATCAATTATGGTATCTCTGTACAATAGGATATTTTCAGCAATAAAAATAAATGACATACTGGTATATGCTATACATGGACAAACCTTGAAGACATGAATGAAAGAAGCTCGACACAAAAGGCCATATAGTGCATTATTTCATTTATATGAGCTGTGCAGAATTAGGTGATATGCGGAGACAGAAATTGGGAAGCAAGGAGGTGAGGGTTAATGGTGGGGAATTTTCTTAGAGGATAATAAAGTATTCTAAAAGTGACTGGGCAATGTTTGTTCAACTTGTAGATAAACTAATAGCTACTGAACTATTTATTTTTAAAAATCGAATTTACTAAAAATAAAAACTTGTGCTCATCAAGACCCGTATATGAAAAAGAAGAGATAAGACATAAACCAAGATAGAATATATATAATGTTTTCATTTGGCATGGAATTTATATCTATAACAGATAAAGAACTTCTACAGTTTAGCACTGAAAAGGCAAAGAAACTTAAAAAAGAAAAACCAGGTTACCGGGGTAGAAAATGATAAGGAACCAGTGGTGTTTACTTTTTAAATCTGGTGCTCGAAGAAAATCTTCTGGGGGAGATCTCTGGAAAGGCTCCTAAAGGAGGAGTCTGCTGTTCCAGGGTCTTGGAGGACAGCATTCCTGTCACAAGAAACAGGAGTTTCAGTGTAGTACACCTAGAATGAGTATGGTTTGTTTAAAAATAAGCAGTTTCTTTGTAGCCAGGGGAATAGTAGGCAGTGTCCATAAAGCCAAGCAATTACAGGAAAGACGTGTAGGAAGTAAAGTTGAAGGGGGAGCTGGGAACGACTTACTGGCACCGTTTCCCTTGGTGAAATGACCCTGCCTCGCGATGATGATGATTCAGCAAAACACTTCCCAGCTCCTGTCCGATGTCTTTAACTGCCTTTATACAGGTCCACTGAGAACACAATCTGTCCAGACTGAATTCATCCCTACTACGCACGCCAATCAGTACTTATATTAATTTACCTATTTGTGTGCCCAGCACAATAAATCACCCAGGATATACTTGAATTCTCTGTCCTTCATATCCTGTATTTACTCAGTCACTCAGTTTCCGCAATACTCAACTCAGAACGTCTCTCAGACCTGCCCTTGGCCCTGTAGCTCCACTGACGGTTCCCGTTCATAGTTTCAGTCTGATCCTCTGCGACTTTCCAGCGGCCAGTTCCACTTAAATTTTCCCCTCTCCATGTCCTGCTATCCACGCCGGATTTTATTAAAGCACAGATCACACCATGCTTTTTAATATTTTTTTAGATCAGATAATCTACTGACTTCTCCTTAAATGTAACATTATTTGTCAAGGAATTTTCCAGAAATATTTTATGGGAAAATAGCCCCTTGTCATATAAGTTTGGAAATACATTGACTATACTCTCCCATAGAAGATACAATTGCACACTACTATAGTAAGGATCCTATAAACATCCTACAGTTGAGAAACCTATATAAGGTTTTTAATTCAGACTTAAATATGTATTAACCTATGAACACTTTTTTTTTTATAACAGCTAATAACATCTTGCTGAACTTATATTCTGAGAACACATCTTGACCTAAAAGGATAAAATTGATGCTGCAGATTAGCATTAAAGTGAATGGAAGATGTAAGTTCTACAACATAACTATAAATTATTCTGTGGCGTGTATAAAATATGTTAATTAAAATGCATAAATTTTTAGAACTTGAATGGGATTTAAGGACAATGTAGCCAAAATCATGTTTTATAAATCAGGTTAAAAAATATGGGGCGCCTGGGTGGCTCAGTCAGTTAAGCGTCTGCCTTCAGCTCAGGTCAGGATCTCAGGGTCCTGGGATCAAGCCCGGCGTTGGGCTCCCTGCTCAGTGGAGAGCCTCCTTCTCCCTCTCCCTCTGCCTGCTCCCCCTGTATGCTCTCTCACTGTCTGTCAAATAAATAAATAAAATCATTAAAATAAATATATAAATTTATTTCCAAAGGTTATTTAACAGGTTGCCGGCAGAGGTAAGTTTAGGATTTTTAGTTTGTTGCCCCCAAAATAAATACTATTTTTATTCAAGTTAAGTAATTTAACTTATGTTCATTTTCTACTACTATGTGCCTGGCATATACAAAGATCCTTGACCATTTATCTAGGCATTTAACGTTGCATTTTTATTTAGTTCAGTTGGTTACATGTAAATTCCTAAGGATCAAGGCTTCCTCTAGGTTTCTTAATCTCTCTTAGTGTTTCACGTAGTATCATGCACAATTAGTCACTGACACATCACATTTATATAATGTATTCTTGCTTAAATAACTTCCGGTATTGAACTAGAAATTAAAGGGGATTGGCAAGAGTCAGGGCCGTCTTCCCGTTCCTAGCTCGCACCTTCTTGCGGTGTCCTCACATAGAGGAGGGGTGGGGGGTCTTTGTGGGGTCGCTGCTGTAAGAACACGGATCTTATTAAGACCTAATTCTCCCCGAAAGACCCTACCTCCTAACACCGTCACTCCTGGGAGTCGGGACTCCGTGCAAGGTTTGGGGGACACAGTGACTCAGATGGTCGCGTAACCGGCAAGTCACTTTGCTCGTAGGCTGTCCGTTTTCCTATTTCCCGGCGTCAGCTTTTAGGGATTCTTGCCGCCCTGTGTCGCCAGCGTGTTCCTCTGGAATTTCGTCACGACGAATCAAGCGTCTCGGACGCGCTTGCTCGCCGCCCGCGCTGGCCTTCTGGGGCGCGCCCGGTCCACGCCGACCCCTTCCCGTGGTGTTTAGGGGAAATCGCACAGGCGTCCGCGACGCCTCGTCTTCCGTACACGAGCCTCGTGCGCTCGCCCCCCGCCGCGCCGGCTTCGCGGGGCGGGTCTGGGGGGCCCGAGCCGCGGTCCGCGAGGCCCCGGGACGCTCTTGCTCCGCCGGGCGCCGCCCGTCTCCGGCCCCGGGACCTCGGCCGGCCTCTTCCCGAGCATCGTGTCCGCCGTGTCCTCTCGAGGTGGTCGCTCGTCCCGGACCCTCCGGGGTCCGGCTTCCGCGCGGCTTCTCCCGACGGGCCCGGGCGCGGGGGCGGCTGCGAGACGCGGCTGAAGGGCCCGGCCGCGCCGTCTGGTCTGCGATTCCGCCGCGTCCAAGTGCCGCAGCGACTTCGCGCCGAGGCCTGCGGCCGCCCCCGCGGAGCCGTGCGGCTGCGGTCGGTCCCGCGGTCGCTGCGGTCGGTCCCGCGGTCGCTGCGGTCGGTCCCGCGGTCGCTGCGGTTTCTCCCGCGGTCGCTGCGGTCGGTCCCGCGGTCGCTGCGGTCGGTCCCGCGGTCGCTGCGGTCGGTCCCGCGGTCGCTGCGGTTTCTCCTGCGGTCGCTGCGGTCGGTCCCGCGGTCGCTGCGGTCGGTCCCGCGGTCGCTGCGGGCGGCCCCGCGGCTGGAACCGGGGCTCTGGGTCGGCCGCGGCGCGGGGCTTGGGGTTCGCTCCGTCCGACGCGCGTCCGCTCGTCTGCAAGCGGGTCGGCGCCCGAGACCCCAGAGCCCCGCGGCGGCGGCAGGGTCCGCGCGGGGTCCCCGCCTCACCCGAGACGGCGCGGCCCGGCCGGGACGGCGCTTGCTCCACCCGGAAAGCCTCGGGGCCGCCCTCGGGCTGCTTGACCCCGGCCGGTGGGAAGAGGCCGCCACGCTGTTGCGAAGATTTTATTCGTTCACTTGACAGACGCAGATCACGAGTAGGCGGGAGGCCGATGCGGGGCCGACCCCAGGACGCTGGGACCATGACCCGGGCCACCCACCGAGGCCGCAGGCGTCCCAGTCACACTGTTTTGAAGGAAGAATCTCTTAAGGTCAAAACCCTGGAAACCGCAGTTCGCTGCGTCCTACGCGGGAACCCGCGCTGCGCTGAAGGACCCTAAGTCGTCCGCGGGGCGCGGCGGCCTGAGCGCCCCGACGCTCACCTCCCGCCCGAACCTGGGATTTTCCACCTTCTCGGGATGAAGGAGCTGATGGCCTTTTGACCCCAACGGCCTGAACCCTTGGATCTGCTTCTGATCCTTGCAACCAAGGAAAGTCTGAAACGACTGAAATTAAACGACACTCTAAGCCACTAGTTTTAAAGAAGTAACTTGGTGGGTTGAGACCCCAATTTCTCATCAAGGTCGTAGGCACCCAACTTTAGCCTGTTCCCTAAGTGATGGGACACAAACTTGGGCTATATTTTGCACTCAAAATACGACGGGGTTGTATATCTGAAAGAAACTAATGGAGACAGAAGAGTCCTTGAAAAATACATTTTCCCTTTTTTTTAAGATTTCATTTGTTTATTTGAAAAAAGAGAACATGAGCCGAGAGCGGGGCAGAAGGAGAGGGAGAATCAGACTCCCTGCTGAGCAGGGAGCCAGACTCGGGGCTCGATCCCAGGATCCTGGGATCAGGACTTGAGCTTAAGGCAGATGCTTAACTGACTGAGTCACCCAGGCCTTCTGAAAACTACATTTTCTTTCTTTCTTTCTTTTTTTAAAGATTTTATTTATTTATTTGACACAGAGAGAAAGAGAGAGAGAGAGAGAGAGAGAGAGAGCGCACAAGCACGTGGAGAGGCAGAGGGAGGGGAGAAGCAGGCTCCCTGCACAGCAAGGGAAGCCTGATGCGGGACTCGATCCCAGGACTCCAGGATCATGACCTGAACCGAAGGCAGTGGCTTAACCCACTGAGCCACCCAGGTGCCCTGAAAACTACATTTTCAAACGTAAGATTAAAGACTTGAAGTTTAGCTGATTGACTCTTCAAAATTATTTATGTATGCATATACACACCTACATATATATACACATATATATTTGTGGACTCAAATAGTTTAGGTATGACATAGAAGGTATATAACGTGGCTACTGACAGAAAATCAAACACATGCTAACACTTACAAAGTGTTGTGAAAAAATAGGTTGTACGTTTCACTAGTGATTTTAATGAAGCTTAAATCCAAATGGCATTACTTTACTATTTAGTATAAAGCTGCACACACCGTAATGCTGGATATTGCCGCTATGATTCACTCGAGGAGTAAACAGAGAATTCTCTACATTATTTCAGATGGAGTATCTGTTCTTGCATTTGTGAGGTTCACTGATAAGATTTCTCTTTCGCTCCTGACTCCGATAACATCAGTGGCTGGACAGGTTCCTATGCTGCTGCTTTCTCTCTTCCTGAGCTGTATGAACACACTTCCTTCTGCCTCTGAATCTGAAGTAGAAAGACCCTAAACAAATTTCAGTGTGGTTTCCCATTATTTTTTATTGTGGGTCTGTAAATCATTTTGAAAGAGGAAGTCTCACTCTCCTGCTGAAATCTGTTTCCTTCAGAGTGTAAATGTGTCGGTTTATCACTCTCGTCACTTTTCCGTGAGACTCTTTGGAATCAGATAACTCCCTAAATTGAGGGTGAGAGACTGGGGTAAAGGACTTGCTGGAACGCCACAGGTTTCTTTTTTCCGGTTGTGTCTGCTGTCTCATAGAAAATCTGGGTTGAAAATTGGTTATATAAACAAATATATTTTAAAGGAAACAAAAACAAAACTTTGGAAAATGTCTTTCTTTTTAAAGAAAAGATCTGAAGCCATGGGAAAGAGAAGTCGGGAATTGAAAGTTGCATTAATGAAATAATAGAAAAATGCCAGAATATTAAAATATAGTTAATTCTGACTGACAAAGAATAGGTGCGAGAGAGATGTGGCAAATAGAGCTGTACACGAAAATGGGTCTTAGTGATACTTAGGCATGTTGATCAGTTGTTACTTTCATTTGCATTTTCGAGGTTGAACTATGAGCTGCATACCTGAATAGTATTAGACATACGCACTGCACATTTGTGCATCTACAATGTCGAATGATATGTACACATGTTTTAAACACGACTCATGGAATCTGTGGACATTAAGTGTCATAGAAATTTACATTTGGAGATTTGCATCAGATTCCTACTCGTCTACAGATAATTTGACATTAACTTTTAATTAAATATATCTGGGTTCTGTATTTCAGAGATGATTTATACAATGAAGAAAGAACAGATTTTTTGGGTGTCTGTGTATCTACTGCTTGATTGTGCCTCTGCCCCTCTTAGTGCTGTCCTTGAAACTGAAGATTATGCAGATATTACAGGTAAAATATTAGAAGCATTCATATTTTTCAGCTAGTTAAAGCTCTCAATTTTGATCCCAAAATGTAATATGTTTTTCTCCATTGTGTGGGAAAATTAGCTTCTATGAAGTGGCATCCTTCTTGGGAAATGTCTTACATGTAATCTGTCAAAAAAAAAAAAAACTTAGACCAAAAAAAGTCATATTAGCAAGGAAGACTTCTTTTTTTTCAGAAGTATCTCTGGACAGTTGCAAGGAGCAAAGTACTGTAGAAACAGCTGTGAACCTTGGTGCCATCCTGTAGCTGGGAAAAGCGTGAGAAAGGGAAGGAAACTACAGACATTCACTTTTTGCCTTATTCTCAAGAAAACAACTTCCGAGATAAGTCCAGTGTGAGAATCTAGTCAAACAGGACATTAGGAGATCTGGCTTAATACAAGTTAGTTCTAATCTTATAAATCTCCGTATCTAAACATAAAATACTAACAATCAGCAACAGAACAAGGAGAAAATTGTATAGTGATTATTATTATATATTTCTTTCTTAGCATTTTGTGGCAAATTAGTAAATTATTGGTAGAGATCTCAAGTCATTGGTGGTAGTGAGACAATACAAACAGAAGTGACAGCTTCTGTTGGTATGTTGACGACGTACCGAAGACTTCCACACACATTCTTTTTTCATATCCAACCACTCTCGAGGGGATTTCGTTCAATGTACTTCCCTTTGATAAAGATGGAATAACTACATCTTATGTGCTTGAAATCGGTAGGTACTGGGGAAGCAGCGATGACTCAGACCAAGTTCTCAAGAATCTCACACTTTCACAGGGGAGACTTAAATTGTCACTGGAAATAAAATATTGTTAGAAAAACTTCCTAAAGATGAGACACTATTTAACAAAGTAAACACTATAATGTGTCTTATAAAATGAGAATCTGGGCTCTAATTCTTCATTTGTCTCACTTATTAAAAGAGAAGGTTTCTAATATTCTGGAAGCTGAGAAGAGAAGGAAAGTAGAGAATAAAGTCCCAAAAGGGAAAAAAGCAGGCAACCGGTCCTGAAAATGGGAGGAGAAAGGGTCCCCAGTACTCACCTACTCTGACGTCCCTCAGTTAGGCTGAGAAGACGCAAGCCGGGTCCCCCGAAGCTTCCTGACGTTGTTAGGCTGCTACAGTCCACCAAGAAACTGGAACAAACCATCTGTAATTCAGCTGGAGTTTAAAATCTCTCCATAAATTCAGAACAAACCAAAACTTTCTGGCCAAGAAAACTTTTTTTTTTTTTTTTAATCTGAAAGCTAGATGTGAAGATCACGAAACCGGTTGCACAATCTGAACCAGTTTTGGGGTTTCTTTGCTTTTGTTTTGTTTTTAATCTTGAAATAGCTGATCCCACATCAGAATCAATGCGATTTTGAAGATACCATTTATCACACAGTGCCAAGGTCATGCCGTCTTTTTATAGCGGTGGGCCACTTCCTGGAATAGGGCACTATCATCTTAGAGAAAAACGTGGAAGATTTTATCACTTCTCTCACAAGGCAATAGTAGGTTTTTTCCTAATCAGTCCAACTAGCAGGGAAGATGAAATACAGTAAACTTTTTGATAATAAAAATATTAGCGATAAGCTCTTTTTTAAAAATTCCCTTAGAGCGAGAGAGAAGCTTCGCAGGGAGCGCTGGGAGGAAGACAGGTGTCTTTTATACAATTCACCATCAGGCAGGCCTGAGTTCGTGCATGGGGTTTGCCACATGGTAGCTTTGCAGAATTAGATGAGTTATGTAAAGGCTCTGACTCCCAGTGTCTTAGGTGATACGTACGTGATGCAGAAACTGTTCGTATGGTTGTTACATAAACTGCACAAAAGCACCTGGCCCGTTTTCCGGCACGGAGACTGCAGAGAGCGTCTGGCTGTGTTCCTCGCTGCCAGACAAACCAAATCTTTTCGTGAAAGGATCGCACAGCATGTAGACTCTTAAATAGCAAGTTATCTTAAAGCTCTTTGTTTCCACACAAGTTCCAGGAGAATGACATGACATGTCCCCAAATATTATCATGAGCCTGCTATCCAATGTCCCGGGACAGGGGGAGGGGACAGTGAAACATAAAATGCAAAAAGTCAATTATAAAAATGATACACTAAAAACCACAATTCTGTTCCTGTGGCTGCATCAGATTAAATTCCTATCCCACCGCCCCGTACATGTCTTCTAGTTACGTGGGGTTAGGTGGATCCTTGTCAGTAACACTTTGCTTAAGTCTCCACTTCGAGTCTCGGGAAAGCTGTCCCTGACCCTGCAGACAAGCTGAGCTCTCCGAGCACCTTGAACTTCTTGAATGTTTGTAAGTCTTCAGTGTCCACAGGCTACATGACGGGGGGCGTCACTGCCCCCCAATGTACTATCTTATCTGCCATGACTGCGCAGCGCCTGCCCCATGACCAACACAGGATTGTTAACTTTCAAGGAGATTTATCCAAGGTGAGAAATGAAAACCAAGACAGACTCCCATCCCTTTTGCGTGGAGCAGCAGGGCACCGCACCGGAGAGACCACACCTCATCACTCCCCCATGTCAGGGACGCTCTGCCAAGGGTGGGTCATAGGCTGACTGCTTAAAAGAGTATTCTAGTATGGGATGCATCTAAGAAATACATTAAAGTGCGAATGGTAAAGATGAATAATTAGATAATAAATTAATGAACTACAGTTCTTAGTGTTTCACTTGGGAAGTTGATATAGAATTACCTACCTTTCATAGCTGAAACATTTTCAGTTTTAATAAGGTCAGTTTGAGAAAAAATGTATTCTAGAATTAAATCTTATGTGCTAGACCTAAAATGCCTGTTGAGGAATCTTGGTCATGCAGATCTCTGGCAATATCACTTGACTATGAGCGTGGGGGCTGTCTGGCGTAAAACGAGGTGGGGGTCAGTTCTACAGCCAGTGCTTGTGGTGCGAACTGAGCAGTCAGTTTCTGAGGTGCTGTTTTGTAATTTGTAAATGGAGAGAATACCTTTCGAAGGTTGGTGTGATTACTAAGTAATATAATCACCAAATGTCTGGGGCACAGTACTGCGTAAACATGAGCTAGTGTGACTACGACAAGGACAGAAACGGGCACCAACTTTGACTTCCGTGGCGGACGACCACCATCTGGTGGCACAATCCTCAACAATGAGTTGAACTCGGTGGCCCAGGCTTAATAGAGAAAATGTACAATACAAGTTCGGCATGACGAAAAGTACTAGCAGGTGTATCAAAAGTCCGAACCAGAGGAATTATCAATGAGAAAGAATCTCACACAAGTTACTATTTATAGAAACTAGTTGTCCTAAATATGTACGGCAACTCAGGTAGTAGGTGAAGCCCCACCCGGGTTCTACAGGTAGAGAATTACACTGCGGGCATCTGCCTGTACACCTGTACACCTGTGTCTGTAGACATCTGAAGTCACGTTGATGTGGGAATCTGGGACCATCATATTGTCTGAGGAGCGCTACAGGGATTTCTGAAGTAATTGTGTAGAGCCATATCATTGAGAATACCAGATTATTATTATTCCTAGCTCATTTCTCAAAATTAAATATGTGACTTCTGAGATTCTGCGATCTGATTCTAAGATCAGATATTTATAGAACTGATGATGAATCAGATTTTTATCAGTCGCATAAAAATGTGTGTAGAGTGTAAAAACACATCGTGCCCATACACTGATACTTGCCGTGGGTCTGCTCGCAGTAAAATGCACTGTAGGGTCTTAGATGCAGTCTTCCAGCTTCTCACAGCTCTTAAGAACAAGATCAGGGACCGTATTCTAAATCTTCAAGAAAGAGAATGTAAGCACGATTTACAATTATTCGCAAGTGTACTACTACTCTGAAAAGGCTTTTAGTTATTTTTTATTTCAAACTGACAATTGTAACCTCAGTGATGAATGGAAAGCACATATTTTTTCATTAATCACTTTTTTATTTATATTCACATATTTATCTATGAAAAATATTTTTACCAACTCTCTAAAATGCTATTTTATATATAATGTGTATATAAGTGCTATAATATATATATGATGAATTTCTATAGAGAAAAGTAGTTGTGTATATAATTAAAAAAAAAGAATTTCAGGGACATCCAAGAACATTAAGGAAAATTATAATTCTGGAGTACCCACATTATTAGGTGCCAGAAACTTTTGATATGCCTTGAGAGATATTTTAAAGCCAATCATATTCAAATAAGTTCATCAGCATAAAATATTAGGCACATAATTGAAAAGAAATGAGAAAAAATTGTATGTCAATAAATGGTTATTGACTCATTTTGGTAAGCTATTTACATGTATGTTATAGAGATTGGCGTTAGGGAAGGTATGTAATCGGTATAAAATTATTTTAAAATATCATAGAGATAAGACTCAAATTACATTTTTTTGTTTGCACATAACCACATAGGAAGTTGAAAACGCACGAGTGCGCAGGTGCATAAAATTCAACATTAGTGAAAGGTTTGACTAGTAATAATTAGCTAACCTGCTAATTAGCCAATTAATGAAAACTGTGTTTGGTGCTGAAAATATCCGTGTCTTTAGTAGATGAAGATCTGTGTGTCATAATCTCTGTTTTGTGTTTTTCTACCTGATCAAATTTGGGACCTGAGAATTTACTGTTCTATCATTTCTGTCAGCTCAACTTATTTCAATTGAAAAAATTGTCAGTTCAGTTATCCAAGAAATCAAAATGATGATTTGGCATTTTATAAATTAAACTTTGATTTTTTTTTTAAGTTTAAAAGCTGGATGAGTGGTTGAGATAAAATTCACATGCTCATAAATAATTACTGTGAAATGAATAAGAATGAATAATAATAACTTACATATAAAAAGCTATATTTTTAAACCTTCTAAGATTTCAGGGCTTACTTATCATTTTATGACTCATATAGAAATTAACAAAAAATTCCAATTATTTTAAATTTAAAAAAAAATTTTTTTTTAAAGATTTTATTTATTTGACAGAGAGAGAGATCACAAGCAGGCAGAGAGGCAGGCAGAGAGAGGAAGGGAAGCAGGCTCCCTGCGGAGCAGAGAGCCCGACGCGGGGCTCGATCCCAGGACACTGGGATCATGACCTGAGCCGAAGGCAGAGGATTTAACCCACTGAGCCACCCAGGCGTCCCTCCAATTATTTTATCATAAAGAGTTCTAACACTATCGAAATGTGGATCACACTTGACATTAACTCGATGTAGATCATTAAGGTAACAAAAGCTGGAGGGTAGAAGATACTTAATAAAATTATCTAATCCAACTTTTATGATATCTATATCTTCTCTTTCAAAAAATTCACAGAAGTTTTAAAACTATAGGATATTCAAAATTGATTTCCTTCTAGGTGGTTATATATTCACAAACTCGTTCTTTTATTTAATTCTTTTAAAATGTTTCATGTATTTTTAAATGGTGACATCCATTCATATTATTTCGAAGTAAATTTATAGTGCATTAAACTCCTTTTGGAAGATACCCAGACTTCATCAGTTTTATTCTAGCAGCATACTGCTGCCCTCTAAAGGGCAAATTGGCTTAGGTCATTTTAAGGCTTCACTGTCCCTCAGAAGTGATCGTTGTGAATACTGGACGTCTTAGAAAATATATTATAGACAATACTCAAGAAGTATAAATAATATTATTTTGTTTTTATTATTCTGATAGTACCAACCACAATTTTCAGTATCTATCTTAGTGATAGATTCTATAAGCAAATGCAACTTACTTAAAATTAGTCCTATATTAATATTATTAGACTCTATAAAACTTAAAATTTTAAATTGAGTTTTCTGTATACACAAGTCCTTTCCCAAGATATGAAATTACTCTGTGACTAAAACAAGTGGTTGGATATTGAGGGAAAAAAATTCTAACTCAAGATCAAAAAAATTGCCTCATTCTATTTTAAAACCTAGACAGTATTAAGTTATTTCAACATTGTTAAAAACTAACCATGGTAAGTAAAAGAATGGACCATGATATATATGTATTTGTAATACTAAACACCAACATTTTCATAATTTGGGAACGGCTTAATACAGTGTGATAATACAATATATGTGTGTGTATATATCTACATGAACATGTGTATACTGCTGCTTTTAAAAAGTTGTTTGTATGTAAAAAATGACACAATTGTGGATTAGGGAGAGCAAATCAAAGAGCTACCCATTAATGTCTACCCCTAAAAACTGCTGAGCTTAAAAAGATGTCTCTACTCACTTGCAATGTCAACACGGTGGTGACCTTACGACGAGTACGCATTTCCATGCTGGTTGACTGTGTACGTTTAAACCAAATCCCTAACACTAGTCTAGAAAATTATTCTACTCTTAAAGTTTAATTGTTGATAAAATATTTTTCATTTGGCATGTTTATAAATGTTATTTACCTTTTTGAGAATTTTAAATAACTTGTCCTGGTTTCTTCAGCCTGTGTTGTTTCTGTTGTGCTTTTTAAGAAAGATCAGGAGAGATGGAAAAGGAAATAAAATACATTATCACTGCGTGGATGAAAGGTTCTGTATCTTTTATTTTTACCTTGTAGATGTCGAGTTGCCGCCACTGAAACTTCTACATTCATTTTGTGCTTTGAAACCGGATAATGGCCCATGCAGAGCCATGATTAAGCAATTTTTTTTCAACATCCACACTCAGCAGTGTGAGGAATTTATGTATGGGGGATGTGAAGGAAATCAGAATCGATTTGCAACTCTGGAGGACTGCGAAGAAAAATGTACAGAAGGTAGGTTTCTGGAGACACTGATCACCCAGGAGCCTCGAAGCTCCTTTAACTTTTAAAAAAAGTTTAGGGTTATCGGATCTAATTATAGATTTGATAATTTTAGGAAAAGAAATTAGAACTATTTGAACATTCCAAGGAATATTTTTTTCACATTTTTGGCATTCATGTTCAACTACTGCTTTTCATTTTCCATATCCATTATTACAAATTATATTAAGCCTCATTTGTCATCCTATATTTTTCTCCATAACAAAGAAAGAAGAAAAACCTTTAAGTTCACTGATTTTATATCTTCAGTGAATTGGGTATAATTCTGCCTCCTGGGCAGCAGTGAGTTGTCAGGAAGGAAATTGTTAGTCACATTGACTTAGTCTTCCCTTCATCAGCACAGTGACCCGATAGCTACCTCCGGTCAAAGCCGCTCTGAGCCTTCCAGTAGCTACTCACTAGAAAATTCTAAACTACATCAGAGAGCAGAAATATATAGATGTTTCATACACATATAAGAAAATTAAGTCATTCTCTACCTAAAGAGAATGGAAGAGTGTGGAAAAGAAAATATGAACCTTACTGGCCCATGTAGACTTTACGAAGCCCAACTTTTCATATTTTTACTCTTCAAAGTATATCATATTATATTATTTTTCAAAGTATATCATATATATTATATTTTTTTCAGAGTATATCATATTACATTGCTGGTAAGCTTTATGGAACACTTTTATTTTGCTTTAATCCTACTAAAACATTTCCCCCTGAATTTTACAAACTATAATATGGTTTTCTCATCTCACTGAGATACATTCCAGATAATCGCTGGCCCAAATTTGGAATGCTTTTATGTCTGTTTGATTCTTCTGAATTGTGAGCTACTTACGGGATAGAAGAATCCCAATCGTCTTTATCTCCGCGGTGTCTCACCCACGTTTCCCGAGTGCGTTATCAGAGCGAGTTGAATTAAATGGTAGCACTATGGAGAGGGCATCTTTAGTAACACGAGGTGTCTTGCTTTTTGCAAAGCAGACAGTTCTGCATTCTCACTTGGATAATGCTTTCCCAAGCAGCTTTTACAAAATAGCCTTGGCTTCATGATGCTCCTGGCATGTGGGAAAATCTCACTGTGGTGAAAAAAGAGAATGTCTCCCGTGTGACTCCGTGAGGTTCTAGAGCTGACAGAGAAGGGCCGGTGTGGATGCATTTCTTTGCCCTTGAGCACTTCCTTCCTTCCTTCTCCTCCGCACAAGTGTGGAAATGTTACTAACACAGATCAAGCATTCGGGGCTCTTCTGTGGGGCCTCTGGTTTTGGTGATCACCTGGTCATTTTCCATTCACTGGACCTTGTTCTCGTCCGTGCTGGGCCAAGCGTCCGTCCGTGCGGGGCTGACCAGCAGGTTCAGCACCTCGGCTAGAGGCCCCGATTCTCATCTTTCCCTTTAGCAGCCTGAACGTTTTCGTCAACTGGCCTCTTTCCCGTAATGCACACCTGTTTCTTTTATTTCACCATCGTATAAAAGTTACCCTTTTCTTTAGAATTTGATCAAATATAATTATTTGGCCTTTCAGTGACCACCTTGCCTATGGTATCTTCTACAACGTCATTCCTACCTACCACATAGAGACGAGGCTCTGGCTTCCATCTCCTTATTACATCTTCTGAAGCCGCTCGCTGCTTGAATGAGGGCTGTTTCGTGTAGTAAACCACTGTGAGGACGGAACTAGCAGATAGAGAAGGGGCTGCCAGGCTTTAGAAAACCACCTAAAGAGAAAATTCTATCTTCAGCTAAATGGAGTAGCTGAAACTGAACTTTCTCTCATAATATGAATGACTAGAAAAATTGGACAAAATATATGAAGCAACTGTTGGCAGGCATGGCTCAAAAGGGAGTGCAGGACTGTCGCCTCCGAGAGAAGGGAACCACGTGAGGAGAGTCCAGGCCCCCCAGCTTTCTGCATGAAGGCACTTCTGAACCACAGCCACGGGAGGGGAACCCAAGCCCAGGATGGTGGTCTCCCTGGTAGAGAATATGGAGATGGGACATTCGGAGACTGAGGTCACTGGGTTTGGGGGCATAATAAGTGGGAGAGAATGGACATATGTAGAGAAAAAGCTAAAAAGTCAGAACAAGAGTCCCTTTGAGTTTGTCACTGAACAACAAAATGCATTTGGTGAAATTCCCTAAGTTTGAGAAAATAATTACAGGGATTTGTAAATGGAACACCCCAGAGCACCCCCATGACTGAGAGAAAACCTGCTTGTATATATGACAAATTTTAGGAACTGGCAGATGATTTTAGAAATCTCATTGGATAAAAGGACAGTATAAATATTTACACACACACACACACACACACATACTGGCAATGAACAAATAGAAAATTAGACAAAATTTAAAAAATTCAATTTAAAATAGTGGAACATAAAATTTTTTTTTAAAGATTTCATTTATTTATTTGACAGAGATCACAAGTAGGCAGAGAGGCAGGAAGAGAGAGGAGAAAGCAGGCTCCCTGCTGAGCAGAGAGCCCGATGCGGGACTCGATCCCAGGACCCCGAGACCATGACCTGAGACGAAGGCAGAGGCTTAACCCACTGAGCCACCCAGACGCCCAGGAACATAAAATTCTTAGTGATGGATTTAAATTAAAAGGTGCATAACATTTACAATGAAATCTATAAAACATTGTTAAAAAGCCATTGGAAATAAGACTTCAGTGAACACAGATATAAAACAATAGATTGAAAGACTCACTTCAGTTGAGATGTAAATTCTCCACAAATGGACCTGGAAATTTTATCCTATGCCAATCAAATTCCAGCACACTTTTGTTTCTGTATTAATTAGTCAACTCTGAAATTGATACACAATACAAAGGACCTAGGATGGCTAAAATAATTCTGAATAAAAGAGCAAATTTGGAGGACTTTACCTGATTTCCATTTTCTAAAAAAGACTTTGTTTATCTTAGAAAGGGAGGGAGAGGGAGGAGAGAGAGGACCTCGAGCAGACTCTGCGCTGAGCTCAGAGCCAATGTCGGCCTCGATCTCACACCCCTGAGACAGTGACCTGAGCCCAAACCGAGAGTCAGATGCTAACAGTCTGAGCCACTCAGGGGCTCCAGACTTTATCTGATTTCAAGAGTTATAGCACAGCTGCCAAAATTGAGCAGGATGATGTGAGTATAAGGACAGACAGAAATCAATGGAATAGAATAATCCAGAAAGAGACAACACCATCAGAGTTAACTGACTTTCAATGAGGATGTACACATTATGTTATGAATAGAATAACAGTTTAATAAAAAGTAATAAATGAGACAAATGCTCATTTTGTTTCAATCCTGAATGTTGTTACTCTCTGAAGCTCAGTTTCTTCCTGGGCACATTGAGGATGTGATGATCACACAGACCAAAGTCATTAATGCTATGTATCCTAATATTTATATCACTTGTTCATGGGAAAGATCCTTTCAAGCAAATAATGTGACTGTAGGCTTGAAAGCACTTAAAAACATTAGAAAATAATGACATCAGCACGTTGTCCTTTTATCCTGCCATGCCTGTTAATGTCTCTATCTGCTAAATTATACATTTTTTTCATTATGCTCATAGTAGTTTAAATTTTTGTGCACATGTAAAGCACACTGCTTAGTTACTGCGATAAGGTATAAATATTATGGAAGCAGCCAGTGAAATCTCTCAAAAGTGGCCCTCTTTATGCTGAGAACCTAATTATTTTATAGTTAACCAAGATCAATGTGATTATTTTGAGAAATTTTTGGTTGTTTTTTATTTAATATGTGTTAATTACTTTTAATTAGCTAACATTCTATTGACAGAATGTTAAGTGTTTCATTATAGAAATTCATATTACTTTTTTTTTTTTTTTTTTTTTTTTTTTTAAGACAGAGAGTATGTGTGACCAAGCGGGAGAGGAAGGGCAGAGGGAGAGGGAGAGAGAGTCCCAAGCAGGCTCTGTGCCCACCAGGAGCCCGACAAGGGGCTCCATCTCAGGAGCCTGAGATCACAACCTTAGCCAAAATCAAGAGTTGGATGTTTAACTGATTGAGCCACCCAGGCACCCCCCAAATTCATATACCACTTTAAGTGCTTTTCCTAGGTAAAGGGTAGATGGGATAAGTATAGGAAACATAAAATCAAAATATGATTTATATTTTATATTAAGGCTTGAAAGCTGAAGCTTTGTATTATTTGGGAAGACCAGTGAGAACTCTATCTCGTAAACTGCCATGTTTGAGAATAAAAGCAAGCCACGTATCTCAGAGAATAGGAACTATGACTGTGTTTAGTTTGCCGTGTAAGCACAGCTCTCCTTTTGCACATAAAGTTGTTTTATTAATTTTTTCCAAATATGTATAATTTTTGGTGTATTTTCCTATCTAATAATAGAAACATGGAATTAAGGTTAATAATTTTTTTAAAAGAAAAGTTAAGTTTGTAAAATGTCTTCAAGTACATGGTTTTTAAAATGATTATCTTTCGGGTCAGTTGCTTTCTTCCTATAGCCTAAACAATATTATCTTTGATTGTTAATTTCAGAAAAATAGCTGTAATGTAGCGTGGGTAATTAGCGAATTAGATGTAAAGATCAAATTATCAAATTCTCATTCAGTTTTCTAGCCAGTCAGCCTCTATGGTGTGGCTAAAAGTGTATTTAGTTTCACAGGACTTCATTGACTCTGGAAACAGGCACAAAGGCTCTCGGAAGTACGCGGCTTACACTGCCTGCTGTTTTACGGGCTGGACTAGTTGTGACTTGTGGCTTTTCGTGGGGGGTTTAGAAGGGAATTTTCCCCACAGGGAATTAAAGAGCATGTTAACATTCCTCCTTTTTCTTTAACTTTATTATTTAACGTTTTGTTTGGAACCATGAAGACCTATTCAGTCATAATGAGAATCTTCTGACCCTACAGTCCTTTTCCCACCCGCTTAGAATAGTTTCTAGGCTGACTTCAACAAATAAAGATCATTAAAAGTTAGTCTTAAGCTCTTACCCTTTGGTCCTCAATATAAGAGAAAAAGATGAAGAAAGAATAGGGGGTAAGTAAAATTACTAAAATGTGTTATGTAATTACCAATTAATTTGTTAGATATTAATGATATTATAATTATAATAAGATATTTAAAATGTGAATTCACATATGTTATGCTTTAAATAAATCTAGGAAAAGATAATTTGGATAATTTGCTGTAAAACATCTATTTCTTCAGACTGGCATAATATTAATTAAATAAAGTTGGTTGGCATAAATATCAATTAAATAGGGTATCCATGTTATTTTCAGAATCCTCAAAGATTATCACTGGTATCACAAATATATTTAAATTCCAGTATGCCAATACAAAAATTTGAGTTAGTTCACATGTACGCCAGCTAAATTAACCCAACTTGGAATGGAATCAGAAAACAAACAAGTTATCTCTTTTAATATTGCATGAACACTGAAATCAAGCATTTCTCTGTTCCTATCCAATGGCTACTGTCAATAGGCAAAACAGTAAAAATGATTATTTAGCACTCTAGTCTGATGTAATATTTATCTGTATATATTTTTTCTTTGTCCTCGTAAATTAAAAGTGTAACAAGTTAATTGTGCATTAAAATATTTCAATATAAGCTAATTATGACAATTCACTATTTAACAGAAACACATCGACAGTTGGTTATTTACAATGAGAGATACCCTGAGGTTTCCTTGATATCTAAAATACTGTATATATATGTTTTTTTAAAGACTATTTAATAAAGCATAGGAAAATTTTAAAAAGAGGCCTCATTACCTTCTCTTTCAAAGATGTTTTACTCTGCAAAGAATAACCTAACTTGTTGATTTTTTTAAAAAGATTTTATTTATTTATTTGGCAGACAGAGATCACAAGCAGGCAGAGAGGCAGGCAGAGAGAGAGGGGGAAGCAGGCTCCCCGCTGAGCAGAGAGCCTGATGCTGGGCTCGATCCCAGGACCCTGAGACCATGACCCGAGCTGAAGGCAGAGGCTTTAACCCACTGAGCCACCCAGGCATCCCCTAACTGTTGATTTTTGGCTGAAAGGGCATATACACCAACTTATTCCCCCAACCCCTATCTCTCTGGCTACACAACTAATTATAAACTGCCTTGACCAAAGCTTTTCTCTGCAAAACAAACGATTGTACAACAAACATCACTCAGCCTTCCTAATGTCCACTTGAGCAAATTAAAACTTCACATATTGTACTGATTTGCATTTCATTACTATTCATTTAAATTAGAACGTAGAATCTATACTTGAATACAGTGGGTCAAAGACAAGCAGCATTCTAGTCCTGAGTGGAGTAATTCCATTAATTCTTTGCGGTTAAACTAAAAAATATGTCACAGATATTTTTTGCTTCATTTCTCTTCCGTACTTAGAAATCATAATAAAACTTGTGATTGGGTTGAAGCAATGCAGCGGGAAAGGAATCAGGAAAGGAGACGATTCTGGTTTCTTCTTCCCCTACTGCCACTTCTCTGTAGAAATGATCTGTTCTGATATGCCAAGTGCGCTGCTGGAATTACTTTCATATTTCACATTACCTTAATGATTTTCAGTCATGGATCTTTTGAATAGCAGTTGTAGTTCACCACGAATTCTTACTTTTGTCAGTGTGTTAGAAACTTTCAACCCTGGTTTTAAGACATTATTATGTTAAAATGTAGATAGCCTCATATTTATAAAAATTAAAATTATTTAATCTTTAGAGAAAATAAGAAATTTAAGCTACTTGTTGACATTTTGTGTAAGAATAATTTTAATGGCAATAAATACATCATCCTAGTTTGTTAAATTGAAATTTATATATAATTTATTTATATATATTGTTGTAACTGATGCACATACTGTTTTTTCTTGCAGTTTATCCAAAGACTAGGACAAAGATAAAATTAGAAAAAGGTAAACATTCATTTATATGCTAATTAGAATTTATGTAAGACACTTAGAAATTCGATTCTTAGCTGTTTTTGCTATGGAGTTCATCATAAATCCATATGATCTTTGAAATTGTTTTATTTTGTATCGATATAATGAAACATTTAAAACAGCCTACATGGTATTTGGTAGGGAAGTCTTCGGACACTGTCTTGTCCTCTCCTTCTGACGCAGCATGGTATTTAGTCTCAGATCGGCCAAATCCCACAGCCATGCACATGGTGTTTTACCATCTCCTGAGCAGTAACTTAGATGCCGCTAACCTCACTCTAGTTCTCAGATCCTGGTCCCTTGATAATCTCAGCACCGTGCGTCTTCCGCAAGTTACACCCAGTAGCTCCCCGAGCTGGTCCATGTCTCCGAGCTGTCCCAGTCTGTTCTCAGCAGTGAATGCAGACGCGGCAGTAAGCGGTTGCTCTCACCAACGTTATACACTGTGTGTGCACACTTTGATCTTGTGATTTAAATTATTTATTGGTTTTAAATTTAGATTTATATTAAATAATTTTCTGATTAAAGTGTTATATTAGCACATGAAAAAGTATCAGCAGATTAAGAAATACATTCCTTTTAGTAAAGGTCTAGAAACTGACTTGGTCCAACTACCATTTATGTCATTTTCTTTTGAATGAGAAGAACGGAACAAAGAGATCAAATTATTTAACTTGGGAAATGAGTCACAAAATTCAAAGTACATTTTAATTTTTCTGACTTCGATTAAAATGTGTGAGAAAAAGTTGAAAGGTTTTGAGGCTGATAAACTTAAGACTTACCAGACTTTGGAATTAAAATTTATAAAATAAATTCAGTGGCAAGGTTTGTACAAACACTATCAGTGGATGTATTTATTTATAAATTTTAAAATAACTTTCTATAAATATTGAATTAATCTTTACAGAAATGTTCCATGTCCCAATTAAATGAAATTGGTTATCTGTGGTATCAAAGAATGCAAGATATTTACAAATAGTGGGTTTCATCCACCAAGTAAAAGATGATATCTTCGTGAAAAGAAATACCAACATTTAAATGTTAGGGTATTTTTTAAAAGTGAAATTAAGAAAAAAATGTATGCAGATAAAACTAATTATAAAATTATGCTATTTAATGTATATGTAATGATTTGGAATTCAATCATTCTTTTTCTTCTACTAATTCAATTAATTTATATTTTTCCAAAAATGCAGTATTTTATTTTTACCAAAGTTATTGGCTCCACACAGTCAAAAATTGACAGCATATAAAACATAACCGTATATATTATAAAGCGCAGTATAAATTAGTAGGTGTGAGGAAGACCTCTATGGTAGGCAAAGGGGCACACCTCTGCTACCAACTAGAAGAACCACTTCTGCCATTGGAACTCCTCTTTCCCTGACTATAAAATGAGCACATTAAGGGAAATAGAGCCCTTTTACCTTTAAAAAGTTCTAAATCAACATTTTTAGGAGCTTTGTCAGATTGGCATTAACTTGACTAAAACGAAAAGTATAACATTTCCTTAGATACAAGGTAAGAATGCTCTCCGTTCCATGTAGGTGTATGGATTTCTTACTCATCCTAGAATAGTGGTGGTATTGAGGAGCAAAGCAAGATGTCCTCAATTTCGTTCATGACCTGCTCGGTTCGTTACATTGCTTTGCTCAGGAGATCACCATGCCTCCAGAAGCCCCAGCCTAGAGTTCGACTTCATCATTTGTAGGAGATGCGACAGAAAGCAGGAGACCCCAGGATGGAGATTGTTGTGTCAGAGCAAGAGAAAGATCAAGAGGCAACTTGAATGAACACATTTGTCAGAGTCAGGGAGGTGGGCCGGGAAGTCGCTGGGCTTAGCAGGTGGCCACGGGGCCATAAGGTACATGTGTAATTAGTGTCCCAGTTAGGAGCTCCTCTTCTCTCATTCTTCGCTGATATTATAAATGGATATGTGACCTCGAATGAGACCTCTAAGCATCCCCACTTCAGTCTAACTTCATGATAGCTTCTCAGTGTCAACACTGGGACAGTTACAGGACAGCCTCTTCGAAATAGTTTGGTTTAGGACAATTGTCAAGTGTGCAGCCTCAAACAGAACTTAATAGTAAAACTCAATGTGGCCAGTGGAAGTTTGTTTCTCGCTAAAAATCTGTATTCTGTGTTTTAACCGAGACTCAGCCTAGAGCAAGGATTGTGTTTCAGATTTAGTACGAGTGCAACTTTACCTGGGAGATATGGGGCATGAATTTCCTGATTTGTAACCTTATTTTAAGCGGTAGGCCCAAGTAGAATTATTTTACAAGTGTACAATTTCAAGTTCGTCTTAAAATAAATTTATGTCCTTAGAATGGGGCCTCATAAATAATAGCAACTTCCAATTTCTTAATTATACTTCTCAGCATAATTTCCTATTGTTTTGTATTCTTTATATGCAATGTATTTTACCTACTCCTTTTTGTTAAACATAGAATTCTTACAGTCTCTGTTAGGATGGTTTAAAATTTCCTATGAAGTACATACTAAGGCCAAGACAAATAAAAATGATAGCAACTGAATGTATCTTTTCCTCAGTCTCTTGTAAAAAAAGTATTAAAAAAATTTAAAGAATTAGTTTTTTTCCTTGTCCCATAAACTACACTTAACCACAAATGGCCAATATGGTGATAATAGTAACATTCACCTTGAGAAACAAGAGGCAATAAACAATAAACAAAATAACTTTCAAACTGGAAATTTGAGAAGTTATAGAAGATAGATATTTTATACTACATGAAGATAGGATGTTTATTTAATAAAACAATGCTCTCCTAGGAGATCATCCTTCCTGAAGGTTTGCAATTACTGCAGAAATCATTATTAAATATATGCTTTTTATAGTAAAACCTTCCTGAGTGTTGCTTCCTTGAGATAGAACAAGTTGCTTTAAAATGTAAAAGGACACGACAGTTCGTTTTTGCCACTCTGATAATATAGTTGCAGGGAAAAAGTGGGGAGATGGGGGCCTTGCCCAATTCAAGCTCCATATATCTTGCAATCACCATTTTGAAAATAAGTTTAATTCTCCTCTTTACAGAGTGTGCATGTAGACAAGGCTTGTAATGTAGATCACAGTGGCACAGCTTCTGTGACAGCTGTGTTTAATCTGGTTTGGACCACTATCAAAGAATGGGCATTAGATTTTTTTTCAAAAGCCTCTCCAATCCCTGAACATGTATTTCCTTTCTGCCTTTGCACTGTTGGAGTCACTCCAATGCTGGGAAGAAGAAAAACAGGAGACACAGAGGCAGAGGATGTCATGCCTCACTTAATACAGACTCTGGCATAAGAATTCAGGAACTTCTAAGAATAGCCATGAAAGCTTCCATAAGCCTCAAAGCTCCTACTCCAATATTTTAAAAAATTGAAACCATTGTAATGAAGCAACACATTATACTTCTTTCCCTGATGAGAGTCTACACCTGAAAAATATGAAATATTCCGAGATCTTTCCTAAATGTCAATGCATGTAGGTCTAAAAAAAAAATTGAACCAAAATTTTGCCATGATATTTTGTAATATTATGAATTTTTGAATATCTCTTCCAAACCAAGGGTAAAATAACAATATCTTTTACTCTTTCAACTCATGAAATAGTTGATAGTTGGTGCCCTATTAATTTATGTTGAGAAATTTAGAACTTGAAATTTCAGTAGCAACAATGTGTGCAATAGATACATCTTCCTTATTTTAAACGTCCCAGCAGACGTAGTGGACAATTTTAATATTGTGCGGCTGTGGATAAAGTTTCATTTTTACCTCGTACCTTTAACTTTTCATGTTTACTCTTTAAATAACTTCAACTTAGTTGTCTTGTACATTCACCCAGCATAATTCAATTATTCACAAGAAAGCATTTGCTTTCTGACATTTTGGTAATTTCCAGAAAAGCCAGATTACTGCTTTTTGGATGAAGACAGTGGACTCTGTCGAGGCTATATGACCAGGTATTTTTATAACAACGAGACAAAGAAATGCGAAGAATTCAAGTATGGCGGGTGCCTGGGCAATCAGAACAACTTCATGTCACTGGAACAATGCAAGAGCACCTGTGAGGACTTAGGTAAGTCGCCTCCGTCTCATTTTACTCCATTTACAGGCCTTCTTTCAAGAATGACGGATCTTAAAGGATGTTTGAGCTTACCTAGGTTTTCGCTTCAGCCGCACAGATGAAGATACGTTACCACCCACTAAATCTGGTAAAAAAATTAGTCACTGTGTTAACTTAAAAAAAAGGAACAGAAAAGTAAGAAATGTATAGAGGAACTTACTTCCAGAGATTTATTTTAAGTTACATTATTTAATTTTCTTTCCTGAGAATATTGTAGTACAATGTAAGCATAAGAATAGGACGGCTGAAATCCCTTAGATTTATAATAGTTTGAAGACAAGTCGCTCTTCAGAACCTACCACCTAAAATCAATCAGTTTTACCTGAGCATGAAATTTATTACAGGATTGCCTTAGACTTTGACTGTTACGTTTTCTAACCAAGAACTACAAAGTTACTCACAGAAATGTGATTTATTAAATGATATGGATAAATATGAAAATTTACTGCTCACTAATTTAACATAGCAATGTGAATAAAATTTCTAGAAGTCCACTCTTTTTTTTTAAAGATTTATTTATTTATTTGAGTGAGAGTGTGCATGAGCGCCCATGTGCGCATGACCGGGGGAGGGACAGAGGGACAGAACCTTGAAACTGACTCCCCACCCAGCACAGAACCCACCGGGGCTCCCCTTTGAGACTCGTGAGATCCTGACTTAAACGGCCCCAAGAGTCTCTGGGGACTCAGGCGCGGGTGTCTGTAGAGGTCGACTCTCCCTCCTCCTCTCCTTCTCCCTCCCCTCTTCCTCCTCTCCGTCCTCCCTTTCTTTCTCCTCCTCCTCCTTTTTTTTTTTTTTTAAGATTTTATTTATTCGTTTAACGAGAAACAGCACAAGCAGGGGGAGCAGGAGCGGGGAAGCAGGCTCCCCACTGAGCAGGGAGCCCAGAACAGGGCTTGACCCCGGGACCCTGGGATCATGACTGAGCCACCCAGGTGCCCTGATGTCTCCTCTTCTTAACACAACCGCTGAGCCTTGCTTTGTGTGTGTGATCATGGACTTACGACAATGTTGCATTTTAATGGTGTTTTTTCCCAGCGCACGATCTTCAGTTGGAAGAATCTGTGCAGAATACGGTCATATCTGACTCTACGGATAATACACTACCCATTAGTTCTGGGGGCAGCATGACACCACTTGATTTGACAAATAACGTAACCCCGGTTGATTCTGTGAATAATGACTCCGTCGCTCCCCAGCCTACCGAGGCTCCCAGCTTTTTGGGTAAGAATACCTTTTTTTTTAAATTGCTTCCCCCAAAATATTATGGTAACAATAGAAGTAGAATGTATATTAGAAGTTTGTTTTTGTTTTAAATACACTCTAGTTATAATAGGTGTGTTGAAATACTGAAATTCAAAATGTTTGTCTTCCATCCTGTAAGGGTGATAATTTTCCTCTCTTTTAAAGTATTCTTTGAGGGAGGCTTTTGATTATATATCACATGAGGGCTTTCCTATGATGTTTAATTCTGCCAAACTTATCTTATAAAATAATGTTCAGAGCTGTCAGCATCAATGTCTGGTGATCAATGATTACGATGGCAGTGTTGTGTCAGAGGCAGCATAGGCTCTTTGAGCATGGCATTGGGCAAGGTCTCAGGTGTCTAGTCACAGGACACATTAGGAATTTGTTGAATAACCATCACCAAAGGTTATGTCACTCTGAAGGGAATTGTCCTTTGGATTTCTGCAAGATTCTTTTCTGGGCTATACCCTGTCAATGCATTTTTCAAATTTAAATAGACGTAGAGGAAATTTGCCCACAAAAAATGCAGAGCAGGAAAATAGTAAAAATATTGGAATACAGAAGTGGAAACCACAATTATGTAGGCAGTTAAAAACAACCAAGAGAGCTTGGGGTTAACAGGATAAATATAAGGTCCCACCTAAATTTTAAAAATCACACGTGCTCTTTCACACACTGGAGACTTTGCTTCGACGCAGTCCGTGTGCAAGTTTTAAATGTCAAGTTGAGGAGAGTTGAGAGAGTTCTGTAGCTCGCACAACTGTGGCCCGAGGGTGAAAGAGACAGTGTGTGCAGCAGGGGTTCCCACGGCAGGTGTGTCAGAATCGGTGGGGACAGTCTCCAGCATCCCCCGTTACAACCAGCACATCAGCAGGCAAACGGGGAGCGGCTCTGCCGGACGGATGGAGAGCAGTGCTGGCTGCGCCCTGTCCTGTCCCTGTCCCTGTCCCGAGGGAGGGATGTCAGTGCCACTCTCGGTGCCACAGGGACCCGGTCATGTCTGTGGGCTTCGCTTCCACCCTGAATGGCAGCCCTGAGAGGCCCCAAGGAGAACTGGAAGCGTGTGTGCAGGAGGACCGGGTGGTGTGAGTGGGAGAGGCCGAGAGGGAACTCACACCTGTTCTCCGCGCATCTTGGCGCTGCCCCGCGAGGGAACATCAAGTTTACATCCTCGCCCCCGTCCCTGCAGCGCAGACCCTCCTGCCCACGTCCCAGCCCTTCCTTATTGCCTCAACCCAGCCTCAGAAGCAGGATTAATTCGTGAAATCTGAAGTGTAAGTTTCCTTTAGTAAAGTGTTTTTTTTTTTTTTTTTTAATGTGAGGTCTTAAGAAATCAGTGGGTTCCATAGGAATTAAATTCCCGAAACTGCAGGCATTCAAGCCGCGTTCCAGCAGCCCGTGAGGCGTCCTAAGTGCCCCGCAGTCAGAGGGAGTTTGAAAACCGTGTGCTCAAAGGCCTTCAGGGCCTCAGATTAGAGTCTGTAACGAGAGCAGTGAGTCCAATGCCTGATGAGTTGCCTCTAGTTTTCAAACACTACTTTGTTTGTAATAATGATAATAGTAAATATCTAGGTAGTTCTGATTTATTATCTGTGAAATTAAGTAATTTCATTGCATTGTTTCTTTGTGTCCTTCCAGCCCTGTGTCTTTCAGTGACATTTTGTTTTATCCAGCTAAGTATCCCATGTTGAAAAGCGTGCTAACTCTTACTGTGTGAAAGACGTGAAAGTTTAGACTAACAAACTTAATGGGTTTGAAGAGACATGTGATACAATATGTCTACTAATAAAATAATGCATGAAATCAGTTTTCAATATGTTTCAATATTTTTTGTTTGGAATGCTTCACTAATTCAAATAGAGGTCTGTATTTATTTATCATAATGAATGGAATAAGTTATGAGAAAGTTTTGCCTTAAAGTTTTATCAAGTATAAAAATCATGATTTTTGGCATGCATACGGCCAAAATAGAAAGGAGGAGACAAAATAAGTGTGAGAAGATAAACGAGTTTTAAATACTGTCTGATAAATATCCTAAGTTTTTATGTAGTTGTGCAGTGAAAAGTATAAAAAAACCAAATTAATGGTTATAACAGAAAATTACTAAGGAAACAGTAAAAATTCACAACATGAATTTAAAAGAAAACAAGATTAAGAGGATTTTTATTTAAAACAATAGACATTTAATTCCTTCATAGTAACTGCATTTAAAATTAGGGAACTCTTCCTCCTTTCTTTGTCTAGAGAATTATTTCATTTTTTATTATATGTAATTGCCTCAAGGCTTCAATTCCTCTACTCAATTCCTCTAGCCAATCTGACTCCTTTTCTTCCTTTTCTAGATTATTCATTTCTCATTCTTTTGTTTTGTAACATTCCTGAGCTAAAGCCTGAAGCAATATTGCAATAGTGACTATAGGCAGTGTGATGCAGAGTCGCTAACGTGAAAGGGGACAATGCAGCTGTGCCTTCAGGCTTCATAAGATCCACTCAATCCCGTGTCCCTCCCGTCCAAGCGGGGAAGGTGGAAATGCTGCTGTTGCTCTTCACCAAGACCTAGAAGAGCCCTTCTCTACCTCACCCAATGTCAGAGGGGTGTTGTGCCCCCACTTTGCCTGTACGTAGACTATCCCTTTCCTCCTCCACCAAAGGCTTTTGCTGAGGTCTATGAAGACACTGTTGATATTCCAGCTCAGAAATAATTACATCTGTCAAAGCTTGTGATTATATTAGCATATTTTAATTTAGGAAATATGCTTTTATGTTTCTGTAAAACCTTGTTGTTCAAGGTTTTGGCAAACGTATAAGGTTCTCCGTATTACTTTCTTTTGAAAAGACGTAAATTGTTTTAATTGTGATTCCGTGTATGGGAATAATAACATACCCCACAACAAAAATAGGATAGCATTCACTTAAAATTATTTCCATTAAATAGCAATCCTTAGGTAGAGTATTTGAATATTCCAAAAATGTAGCTAGACTGTGCTATCGTTATGAAGGAGAACATTTGTAAACATAATTTTAATGTTTCTCTTCACAATGATAGTAGGAAAACCTTTTAGAAGTTTTGTTTGCTGTTTATCCTTAACTACCAGGAAATTGCATGTAAGCTTGAGAATGTTTTTCCCATTGAGCCTCCTTGACTGGAGATATTGGAATGCCAAGCCCAACTGAGCTTGAATTTTTTCCTTTTATTTCCAGATTTTGTTATTGGTAGGCTATATAGGGGATCTCAGAGATTGAGGCTCGCTCTTCCTTAAAGAGACTTTTATAACATCTTTTGTAAGCTCATCCTTATGTACAAGTATTTGAGTTTGGATGAGCTGAACTAATGAGTATATCAATGTAGGTAAAACAAATGCTTGTTCTCACCATGTGTGTGAGAGAAATCCATCTAAGGCCCCCCCTCTAAACATGTGTACATCTGTACTTAATCTTCAGAACGAAAAACTACCGCAGTTAGTTTTCTTGACTCTTCCTTTGGGACTAGCGCTATAGTCCAGTAGGTCAAAGACTCTGAGCCTGAAGAGTTGGGCTCGAATCCCAATTCTTCCACTTGTTGCTGTGCAACCTTGAGTTACGTCTTAGCCTCTCTGAACCTTAGTTTCCCACCATACAGTGAGGATGGCAGTAATGCAGTTCTCACTTTCTAAGTTTTGCTGTGAGGTGAAATCAGTCAGTATACAAGGTACACCAAGCACAGAGCAGTACCCACTCCACGCCACATAAGTATCACTCATTGCTATTACCTGTGGGACCCAGAGCAATACCCGTAACTTCCTTGGCCTTCATTTCTCACCTGCAAAGCAACCGTCTCTAAGTTCCTCTTCACAGAAGTCGGTATTTTAGACACTCGTAAGATCTCTACTTACTCAGCTAAGCGGATCGGTACACATAAGGTCACAAAACTACAATTAACCTTCAGAAGAGAAAGGACAATAGGCCTAAATTAATACAGAGATGGAAACTTACACAGTTCAGATATGTTTAGCGGAAACAAGTTAAGATTATTGTCATATAGAAGTATGATGGGCTTTGAAGCCAAAAGAACTTCGTGTAACTTTTCTTTGTCTTCTGAAAACTTCCAGCTTTCCAAACTTTCAGAGTTCTGCCACCATTTCTAGCTGTTTCAGTTTGAGCACTTGGTACTCTCCTCTGATCACCCTCTCCTCCTAGTCAGTCCTTCTATTGTTTTTCTGATGAAATGTTCACTCCTGTCTTCTCCGTCTTTAGTCTACCTGTTTTGTTCAGAATATCAATCTTGTGGGTTTTGATGATCTCCATCTGATGTCATCAAAAAGGGACACTAATGAAAATGAAAGGGGGATGCCAAAAAAAAAAAAAGATCTATTTGAAATAAATATATATATTGACAAAAAACTAGGTCTTTCGTTTTGGTGGATAGATAAAATAGATTTATTTTTAAAGTATTTCAATTTTCAAAAAATCACATATGTGTTGGGATATGATCTACCAAACAAACAAACAAACAAACAAACATGAGCTTGGACCAATACTGGCTCAGGCAACCCAGGCGTCATAAACCTCAGATAGATACCAAGGAGATCAGATATACCATATATATTAATATATACTCATATATCACACATGTTAAATGCATTTCCTATAGCTATGCATTTAGACACATGCACATATACGTATATGTGCATAATACATGTGTATACGTGCATATGTGCGGGGGGGACAGAAAAGACAGGGAAGAAGGGAGTCATGCGTGACGTGCCCTGGATACAGCATTTCGGACATTGCTGTTCTACTCTCATTCATCCGTTATATCAGCGTCAGAGTATCTTTAGTCAAGCAAGTTCACATTTCTTTTCCATTAGAGAAAAATAAATTAAACCTTTACAGATAGACTCTTTCTGTGGTAATTTAGCCTCATTCCCTTGTTTTAGATTTTTCTGCATTATCTGCTACCCCTCTAACTGTCCCAGATTTTTGTCTCACTAAATACA